AGAGAGTTAGCCCCCGCCCCCGCACACAGAGAGAGAGGGAGAGAGTTAGGCCCCACCCCCCGCACACAGAGAGAGACAGGGAGATCGCTCTTCTGGAGTGAAGAGAGCGTAAATAATGATATTGCAAGTTAGAAACGTAAGATGCATTTTGACAGACAAGACTCTTGGGGGAAAATACCCTGCATTTTGAATGTCCGATAGTCCACCATTAACACCTTAGTCCCGTCTCGTCAACGAAAACTAAATATACATTTCGTCAAAGTTTTCGTTATCAAGAATCTATTTTTAGCTCGTCATCGTCTCGTCTTAGTCATGTAAAAAAGGTCGTTGACGAACATTTTTCGTCTTAGTTTTTGTTGACGAAATTAACACTGACTGCAAGTGTAGTTTATATTTATGTTTTTTAAATCCTTGTTTAAGTATAAGTTATCGTGTGTGTAATATCCTGTGTGTGCGTACACTCTAAAATCAGCTATTTTAATTTACATGTATAAAACATAATGGTCGCATACTGTACTATCACCAGGAACAGGGGTTGATGCCATATGTAATCCATGTAGTGAGTTTGACGTATAAAGAAAGGTTTGCAAACAGAAACACTTAATTGAGAAAATTAAAAGGAAGATCAGACAACCCCAACAACATTTTCTAAAATAAATACACACAAAGAAACAGAGTGTGATGTTCTGCTGCTGACCTGAGACCAGTATGAGCCAGTGGATGTCCTCGTAGAGGTCGTCCAGGACTTTGCGGTCCATGGACTCGGGGTCGGAGGTGGCCATGAGGTGCTGCTGCGTGCTCTGCAGCTGGCCGTGCAGCCGCGTCACCCGGTCCTCCAGCAGGCTGCGGGGGGGGAGACAACGTTAACACAGGAAACACTGCTGCTGACACCGTCTGAACTAGTGTTAATTTTGTCAGCAATTTTTTTATTTAGTTTTAATCTTAGTCCTTTATCAAATGTCCTTGTTAGTTTTAGTCATATTTAGTCACATTCATCCTACTAAAAGTCTGAACATTTTAGTCTTATTTTAGTCAAAGACAACTAACCCTACTTTTTGTCAATGAAAAAAACTGACTATCAGATGTAACGTTATCTTTGATAATATTTAGTCTCGTCACTTTTCGTCAACGATATTGCATGTTGATTTCATTTCGTTCCAGGATCACACTGAAACTCCAATACATTTATAGTAATGCAAACTAAACTTTGCCACACTTTTAAAATCCCTAAAGACACAATATGGATACCCACTCTGTTTATCTGTATGTTGCCACATATATGTTGCTATGTGAATGTATATCTGTTGTGTAGCAGGTATGAAAACAAATACCCCTCTGGGACTATAATTCAAGATCTAATCGAATATCGCGCAAAACTAGAGAAACAATTGTTTTGTTTACAAATGTATTTCTGTTAGTTAAGATATACAAATCAGGTTTTACACACCGGTTGAATACATTTGACCACAGGAGAGGATATGAAGTACTGGGTTATGTGTTGTGTGTTTACTTTGTGAGCAGGGGGATGCAGTGGTCGGCGGCCACTCGTCCCAACATGCCGATGCTGGACAGCTGATCGCAGAACAGCTCTCTGTCGTCTTCCTGCAGCTCGTTGATCTCCTCCTCCTCGTGAGACGATATGCCGTTCACTGACTGAAAGATGAAGAAGAGAAGGATTTTTCATAATGACACAATTAATCAATGATGTCTCCATGGACACTTAAATAGCCAGATACATACATTTTATTTTAAGCACAAGTAGATCGAATATTATAACTCTCTTTACTTCTATCTTTTAACAACTTTTTATTTAAGGTCTGCCTTACATTTTTTAAAACCGACTGGCCTTCCTTCAGTAAATCACACTGTTTATCATTAATGAGAAGTATAGTCTCAAGAGTCTCACCAGGTTGCGGGTGCCGTCAGGAGCAGCTAGGTGACACTGGATGTACGAGTTGAAGACTTGGATCGCCGGCTGGACGAAGCAGCCGCGAGGAAAATGCTCCTCGTCCTGAACGAGCGTCAACCACGACTCGAGCAGCTTGTCGTACGCCTCCATGTAAACCATGTCGTCTTTATCCAGCTGAGGGAACAGACAAAGAGCGAAATGGATGTCAGCAAAACAATCTTTATTACAATGAGAGTATTCACATCTCCGGGTTCTGTTCTCTTGAATCAAATCAAACTTTATCCCAATATCACAAAACAAGCTCGTCTCAGTGGGCTTCACAGATTAAAAACAAACAACAACATTGTATATGACGGAGTTGCAGCAAAATGAGAAGACAAGATAGTGTGTGGAATACAAATAGAAATAAAACAATGAATGACTTGAAAGGTACAGGTGTTGTTACTCACCACCTCCTCTAGGGCGGCGCTGCGTCCGAACGAGCAGGTGAGCAGCGTGAGGCAGTTGATGAAGGAGGTGAAGAGGTCGCTGGGCAGCGCCGTCAGACATGTTCGAGGAAACATGGTGATCAGATTGGAGATGATGTTTGAGATGCCCATCGCCTCCGAGTCCTCGATCTCAATCCTGAGGATTAAGCATGGAAAAAAAGGTTAATTAAAATAAGGCAAGGCAAGTTTATTTATATAGCGCCGTTCAACACAAGGCAATTCAAAGTGCTTTACAAAAATGACAGACATTGAGAAACATATCATAACATGGCATTTAAAAACACTCATTTAAAAGCAAAGATAAAAACATGAATAACAAAAAGGTACGTGAATAAAAGTCACAGTGCAGTGAGAGATATGAATATATTATCAATTAAAAGCAGCGGCAAAAAGAAAAGTCTTCAGCCTGGATTTGAAAGTTAAAGGTAGGGTAGGTAAGAATGGAGAAACCAGCTCGAGTGCGCTAGAATTAAAAAATACGCAGTCGAAAGAAATCTGCAACTTCCTTCAGACTTCCTTACAGAGCCCCTCCTCCAACACACACGAGCGCGCACATGACCAATGAGGGCACGAGATAAGTTTGTGCACAGATGGAAGGCTGACAGGCAGGTAGGCCATCCAGTTACTTTAGCCGGGCCGGCTCAGATGATTGGTCGTGCTTTTTACAGCGCCACGGCTTCCACAGATGAAATATTTTTATGTATTTATTGTCAAAGCATTTAATGTATTCATTGCTATCGGGATGTTAAGAGCATTCCATGGAATATGACAAAAAGTGTTTCTGAAGTGAATTACCTACCCCACCTTTAAGTTCAAAACACTTTATGTGGAAGACTTCTTACAACGTATTCTCTTTTTGCCTAACGTCGTTTACAGAATCTCAAGGTGAGATTTTAACTTGAAACTCAGTACAGCATGTGATTGTAAGAATCCACTGGCATCATGTTTAGTGGTAAAAATCAATTTGCATGTCTTGACCGAAATGGTCAAACCTGTTATTTTCCATTTTTAAATCTGACTCGTGCTTTGGCTCGAGGAAGGACAGTTTCCACTCTGCAGGCTGAGGCTAAACTGGGGTCAATTTCCACTTTACCCCCTGGTGACCCCTGAGCAGTTTCCACAGCTGCATCTGAGGTTATATTTATGGTATTTCTGCCTCAAAGGGCAGTGCACAGTACAAAATGATAGAACAAATGGCTGTAATTACACTCCTCGTAGGACGGAGCATTTCATCATCAGAACATACCATGAAGAGTGAAGTGACATGTGTGGACACGCTAAAATCATATTGTGTTACATTTTAAAACCGGATAAAAAAGAGGTTTGTCATTTGAAATGTACACAATCAGGACCGACCTAACCACAGTGCCTGTACAACTAATGTGAGGAGGTATTGAATGATTGTAATAGGAAGACATTCATCATTTAAATAACATGCAACAAATGGGAGGATTGCGTGACCTACCACATGAGAAATAACTGTGAGCAAGCAGATAGAGGAAACAAAAACAAAAGTCTAAATCCAATGAATGTGAGGGACACGAGAGGAACAAAAGGGGGGGGAAAGGTCCGTTGAACAAAACAGGGAATCAGGCTGGAAAGTGCTGGGATTTATCCAAAAATGTGTTCCTAATTGAAAACACACTTGATAATAAATGTGTCTCTGTAGTCGCAGCACTGCAGGGTGACACGGAACATATATACGACAGTCTAAAAACATTAACACAAAATAAAGGTCCTGTTTTAAAGTTATAAAAACCCTACAAACTACCCAAAGTTTGCTGAAAATATGGCTGCACAAATATCAATAAATGTACGTACATCATCACATCTGACACACATTTAAAATAACTTTACAGATGAAATTATAATATTATTAATTATACATATTAATAGCTGTCAGTTGGCAAAACCTGACATTTTACAGACAAAATGAATTTGGTATTTAAATAATAGAAACCTAGACATTTAGTGGGCAGAGTATTTTAGAGTTGGATAAAGAAACATATATTTTTGGTTACAGACAAATACGATGACACAGATATAAAGTCATTAAGTTCTTATGCAATGCAAACATGTTTTTCTACGTTCTTGCAAAGATAATAATAGAAAGTCTAAATATGCTATGTGCTGACACTCAAGGGGGAATTTACCAAAAAAACCTCATCACCTCTTGAGGTTTCCTGCATATCTTTGCCTTTGCAGAATCGGAAAAAAGTCTGAGCCGTGAGTTTGTGTTTGAGCCGACACACCTCAGCACAGCCGGTCAGAGGCACGCTGTGTGAGAGGCCTCGCTAACCCCTATCAGATGGAGTTGGAGTTCAATTGCGAGCAGAACTGTTCAATCTCTGCAGATCGGCCATCCCTCTCCGCATGGTTTTCCGATGAGGCAATTGGAAAAAAGCTCCAAAAATAGGTGATTACAGACGGAGCGGGAGAGAGGAGGGAGAGGGAGAGACCCCTACTAACTGGGTCACATGGTGTGTGTGTGTGTGTTTCATTTATTTATACATGTGAGTGTGGTCCCTTAATTCAGATCAGAACCCCCTTTGACTATAAAATAAACTTGCCTTGCCTTTGACTACAGACACACCCACAAACGATCAAAAAATAGTTCCTCTATATTTATTGATAATCACACACACTGTTCCTATGAACACTGCTATTTATATTAAAAACCTCCACTAACCTATAACTTGTTTTATTTACGGATACAAAGTGACTACGTTAGGGCCACAGCATGATTACAAAAAATGGATGGAATAAATACAGGCAGAGAGAGATAGGAACTGAACATCACTGTTTTATACAGAAAGGTCTGCATCAGTGTTGCAATGGTGTCTGGTTGCATTTGTACACTTTGTATTCTCTGAGCAGATTGCCATTGATTTAATAAATATGTTGCTATGTTTTGACTTCTTCGTATAGGCAGAGTATATTTATGGCTGCTTGTGTTGTCAACGTTCGAGAAATGGTGTTTCTTCGTACAACTGAAACAAGTGTGTCAATAAAAAGTATCGTTAAGATTTTTAAACCTGGAGAGAATAATACAAAGCACTCATTTAATCACTTCAATAAGTAGCATACATTAAACATAGTGCATTAAGTCAATAGACATTTAACGAGGAGTTCAATCTTCTGGTTGCTCCATTATAACTTTTTTAGGGTCCATTTTGGCAGGATCAATTTAAGGCTTCATGACTGAACAATAAAACCTTAAATTGTTTTCTAAGAGCAGCTATAAACCAGTGGGGGGGGGGTAATAAGATCGGCTAATGCATTATTGTTAAAAGTCTTGCAGCTGCATTGAGTGAACAATATAACTTTCGAGGCAGGTTGAAATACTTGGCCTGAAAAATAGCTCTATTTTTAGAGTTTCAAATCATTTCTCACAGAGTTTGACTTTTTATTAGAATGAACCAATCTGTAATATAAATAGAGATTTGTTGCAGCACTGGCAGACTTATTTTACAACAGAAGAAGAGTGCTCTGCTTGAGTGCACTTTGGCATAACAAGGTGAGAAAGGGGAAAGTGTTCCCTCTAAATGCTCTTTAACTGGTGTATGACCCGAACCGCTGCCTCACTAGCTGCTAAAAACAGAGCAGTAATCTGCCTTAATGCATCCTCCTGAAGCCCGAAACACACTTATTCTCAGCGATGCACACAGAACAATCAATGGGCTCCAAACAAAGCCTCAGGGCTAGGGATGCATATCGTTGACTTTTTTACGATACCACTGAACGATACCGATACTCAACTGATACATATCGTGATACTTTGAAAATATATCATCCCACAATTACTCCCATGAAGCGCTTTACGATATAGTTAACATGTCAAATGAATATTAAATTCAATTGTGGGACTTCTTGGACCTTTTAGTACTGAACAAACAATGAAAAATGTATAAAAAATATGAAGAAAACCGATTATGGAATATCTTTTATAACACCCGCCATCAGGTGAGCCGCGTGAATAGCACATATTGTCAATGCAAACAGACCGTTATAGCACCGTTATAATGAATGTTAAACCTGAGATTCGACTAGAGAACAAATACATAATAGAATAATGGTCATGAGATCTCCGCATTGCACAAACAAACAAATCACATCTTTAAAATCAACATTTACCTTCACTGGTGAGAGAAAACAAATCCCATCACAGTTCAAACAATGAAAAATACATAAAAACGATTATGCAATCAAATTTATAACACCCGCCATCACGGGCCACGGACTCACTTTTAAAATTAATTAAAAAAAATGTAAAGCATCGAAACCGGATCTGATTTCGGTACGGTATACCGTAGCCACCAGTAACCGGTATTTCGGTAATACCGTATGCATCCCTACTCAGGGCAACACAACTCGTTTCTCAACACAACAACTTCTATTTCAAGCAATACGAGAATCACAGACTGAAAGTGGTTCTGTTTCTTTAACGACACACACCTTAAGTGTGGGGGAAACTTCTGTAGCAATGGAGAGTCAGGACTCAAAAGGCGCTTTCACATCAAGTACTTAGCCGTACTTAGTTCATCAGAACTCTTTAGTTCTGATGAACTAAAGAGCAGATCGCGTTCACACCGTAATATGTCCCTGAGGGTGGATTAGGCAAATGAAGCCGCTGACGTCACTTCGTCTTCTTCTGCTTTTTGGTGTGGACGCAACATTTCAAGAACTATCGGAACTAAAGAGGGAAAAGTACTCCGGTGTGAAAGCGCCTATTGAGACACGAGAAGAGCTGGAGCTTTGATGTCAAACACTGACGGTTTATTTGGAGCTTCGGGAAGAGAATTCAAACGACATGTCACGGGCCACGATCTGACCACACGGTTGAGATGCCACAATCAATTCTGAAGACCCCTCCTGTAGCTCCAGGTTTTAACTAGTTCAGAGTGTAATAATCAACATTCTTCAATAGATAGACTAAACAGCTGAGGACACTGAATCATAATTGTTGTCGCTTATGGCTCGGGGTCATCTACACCCCGAGAAGGATGTGTTCCAGGTGTCCCACAACAATAACAATCTCTGACCGAAAGTTGCCCAGTCACAAACTGGTAACAACAACAACTTGCTAGGGCAGCCCCTCCTTAAGGGAGATAACGGCTGCTCAAGGTTGGGCATCTGCGTCAGAGGGCAAAAAGTAAACATGTCGGGCGAAATGATTCCCTTAAGTATATTCTATTATTTCTCTGTAAATCGAAAAATGATTTCCTTGATTTGTTGAGTGCAGATCGAGTGTTTGATTCCTTCTGCAGGACAAAGGATAAAAACAAGTGCTGCATTTCTTCTGATTGGACGCTCTGATTACAGACTCTTGACTCCGAAGTCCAAAATGTCGCCTCTGCAGGAAGGATTAGGAGAATTGGTTTTGAGGCTGAGCTTAAGAAATGAAAAATGATTTTGTTTGCTCAGAACACTGAGGTTCAGAATTGCTTAGTAAAGGGATTTCAGCTAAATAAATCGAGCTTAATACTGAGTAGACACACAATTTATTTGAGTGAAAACCAATGCCATTTCCATGCATCATGAAAATCCGGTAATGCTGAAAATTTGCCAGAATTTCCCAACAAAATATCATCAATCAAAAATAGTTTTAGCTCACAGGTTGAATTATTTTCTCTAAAAATGTAAACAATCCTCACATTATCAGACTTAGTTCTGCATTTATTAATTGCTTGTTGTTTTTTCCTTTTTTCTTTTAAGAAAAGTTGGAATATAAATACTTAGTAGCTTATTTTATCATGAAATCGTCAAAATAGAACGGATAGATTAATTGTTTACTTCACATGTCTGCAATATGTCTTTTATAGTGAAGTGCATATATAACATAGCACTAAATAAAACCTTTTATCTTAACACTTCACTAATATTAAATGTACAATATTTTCTTGGTATACTAAAGTTGACTGTATATGGATATTATTATACATCCGATATAGCTAATTTTTCTGGAAAATCTAATGAGAAATGGTCAATCAATAAAATAACAATGCGAAAGTTATCTCATAAAGAAACCGATTGGATTTAATTGATTCCCCGCAAGAATCCATCACAACCAGATTTAACTACCTCGATATAAAAAGGTAAAGAACATTAGATATGATCTATGTTGAATATTTGTTTCATATTTCCCAAACGTACTCAGATTTTTCCTTTCTAAATCAAATGTTCCTTTTTTCGATTGCATCTGCCTTGATTTCCAGTTGATGTATAGGCTTCAAACTTAAAAAAAAAGTGTTTTGTGCAGTGTTGATTTACACTTAAAGGTGGGATAGGTAATTCACTTCAGAAACACTTTTTGTTATATTCCATGGAATGCTCTTAACATCCCGATAGCAATGAATATATTAAATGTTTTGACAATAAATACATAACAAAATATCATCTGTGGAAGCCGTGGCGCTGTAAAAAGCACGACCAATCATCTGAGCCGGCCCGGCTAAAATAACTGGATGGCCTACCTGCCTGTCAGCCTTCCATCTGTGCACAAACTTATCTCGTGCTCTCATTGGTCATGTGCGCGTTCGTGTGTGTTGGAGGAGGGGCTCTGTGAGGAAGTCTGGAGGAAGGGGCAGATTTTTTTCAGCTGCGTATTTTCAAATTCTAGCGCACTCGAGCTGGTTTCTCCATTCTTACCTACCCTACGTTTAAAACCGGCTGGAGAGAGAGAAGAGCTTGTCTTCAGTTCAGTGACAAACAGATGCTAAATCAGAACCCATTAAATCACAGACTCAACAAGCAATTACTTCCTGTAAATAAAGCAGAACTGGCTCAGAGTGACTCACATCTCTGCTGCGCTGGCCTCCATCACTTGTTGAGTCTCTGAATTTAAGAAACATTAAATCCTTGAGATACCCGAGGAGGATAAACAGCCACGGAGACGGTAGCCAAGGTTTTATCGAAGTTATTCTGCTCACTGATCCTGCTTCTTGAATACTTCAGTGGAAAAGACCAGCTGAGGTTTTATTAAAATAACCCATTACATTTAGATTTAAATATATAAAAGGCAGAGCTTATGACAGAAATGATTCAGTTAGTGTAGTCCAACTTTGGCTTTTTGACTTCATGTGATTTTTGCGCACTATTTTCCAATACATCACTGCGCAGTACGATTAATTTAGCAAAGGGAAAGTTCATTTATTTTAGTGTAGCGGTTGTGTAATAAGCTCAGCATCCCGAGGGGAGCTGCTTTCAAAAGGCAGGTCTGAATTAGTTCCTTCTGTGGTTTCTAAAGCCTCACTATCAAGACTAGCCAAATGTTCAGAATAAAGCATGAGAGGGATTAATGTGACGTGATGAAAAGAGTTGAATGACTGCTTATATCAACTGGAACAAAAACAATGTAATATTCTCTAATCCCCTGAATGTGGACTTCTTCTCCATCTGGGGATTTACCAAAGTCTGCAGTCTGGTTGTTTCTATGGACTCCACCCTCTTTTTGCACACATACCCATCTCATCCCGTCTGTGTATTTCATCCTGCGTTCATATTAGTGGAACATTTCAAAAGGGGCCAGTATATGTTTATTTTCCAGTTCATATTTGTATCTCTACTCTGACATGTCTCCATGCTTTAATGTGCTGCAGCACCTTTTTTCACCCTCTGTCTGAAACCAGAGCCCAGTCTGCTCTGATTGGTTAGCTGGCCGGCTCTGTTGTGATTGGTCAACCGCTAAGAGATGTCCCGCCCCCTAAGCCTATCACGTACAATGTGTCGGAGCGCTAGCCAATAGAAGCGCGAGTTTAACATAGTAATATGATAATGTTACACAAGTAGGATTTATAATAGCTTTTTTAGTTTTCAAATTGTAATGTTTTTTATATAAAGCACTAAAAGAAATAACCTTGTTCCAGAAATTTGACAAACATAAACATATCTTGCCTGCTTTGCTTTGCCTTACATTTGAAACGCTGTGCGGGTTGCTGCTTTGAGCTTTGTGAGCTGTGGGTTCTTTAACTTTCGAGCTGGGATTCTGCCACTGAAAGCCAGCAAGCCTTACGGTCTTCAATGTCTGTACAAAATGTAATGGCAATCAATCCAATAGTTGTTGAGATATTTCAGTCTCAGTCGAAGTGGTGACAGACTAACATTGCCATCCACAAAGCGCTGGTTAAGAAAGATTTAGTGCAGACTAAAAAAGACAAAATGTTTATTAAATCTGTTGCTGGTGGCGAGTAAAAAAGCTCTTATCACCAGATAGCCCAACTTTAAACGCATGGTTGGATATTACAACGGACATTTACAAAATGGAGATCATCACCTGTCAATCACAAACTGGGACTATTTATGTCACGATGGAGAAAGTGGACTGATTTCGTAAAACCTCATAGTCCAGATTTTATTTTTACAAACGTATGATTTAACTGTGAAGTCCTGATCACTCCCTAATGCTTGTATTATTCGTACTTTTTACAGTTTTTATTTTATCTGTGTAAAAAAAACACAAAAGGCAGATGTACAATTACTATGTCTCGGAAAAACACTAATTGTTTGCCGCCAAATGTCAATAAAAAAAATCTGTGACTAAAGAATTAAGATTTAGTACAAACAGAACGACTGTATAGCTATCAGAGACACCAGCAGACAGAGTAAAGGGCAGCACTGACCCGTTGATCATGCTGAGCAGACCCTCCACCAGGTGGGCCAGGTAGGACACCTGCGCGCCCTCATCGGGGAACACGGGCCCGTGCATGGAGGCCAGCTGGGCCAGGCACTGCAGAGAGTCCTGCGCCATGTCCGAGTCCTCGCGGATCTTCCTGTGTACCTGCAGCAGGACAGAAGGAATGTAGGTCTTAGTCGTCAAGGTATAACAGAGGAATCTTATCAACTGCTCAATGAACCAGCAGAATAGAATTGGAGCGATGAAACCCTCTGGTCACACATGCAGAGCACACAGTGACATTTGTTCTCTGCTTTTGACCCATCCTAGTAGTAGGAGCACTTTAGATTCGGGTTGGAAATAAAAGCACTCACAAAAGAACAGACCGACTTCAAATATATGGAAAAACTTCTCCACAAACTTGCTTTTAACTATTTATTTAAATAGATTCAGACAGATTAGTATCGTCTTCAGGACCGCCTGCAATATGCAACAGTCATTTATTTCACTGTTTGGTTTAAAGCTAAAGTCTGAGTTAGTGTTTCAAATTCTCCCCGATTCACACGACCACCTGCAGGACTGCAACGCATCTACCCGACGTTCTCAGAGGGCTTTTTCTAGATAACAGCAGGAGAATACGCTTAGAGTTAAAGACTTGAATGCCATTACAAGGAAAAAAAAGACCTTGCTGAAAAGAAATAAATTAAAAGGAGTAAAACAGAGAAGTGAAAACAGGAGAATCAGCATATTATTATTAATTTTTTAATTGTGACAGCATTGCCTCATATAGCAAGAGCAAAACATTTTGTAGCTCCTAAGAGAGGGACACTATTCAGCGACACAACTTGAGTACATGTCGGTGAAGTGTTTTAAAAACATCTGCTTGGTTCCTCCGTGCCGTTTGTAATTTATATGAAACCGGTGTTATCATTTTTGATACATATAAGTCTTTGTTGAATTAGTTGTGGTACAGTACGGAGTCTAGGTCTACATTTATATTTTTCATTTTGAATAATTGATTTAATTTGACTCAAAGAAATGGGATGTTAACTTTTTTCTTAAATGCAAGTCTTAAAATTGTATGCATTTTACTGAATGCGAATTAATAGTACACCACTTTTTAATGATTTGACTGTATAAAAAATCAGGTTCAAATTCACATCAAATAAACTAACGAATAGACAGAATTAAGTTTTTGCTAAGATCGACACTTACCAATTATATGTTGATGCAACCTAGTGTAGCTACGGTAAGGGAGTGTTACAAGTTTGACGGTGCTGACGTTTTCAAAAATAAAATAAAATAAGAATCTGAGGATTTTAAATCACAAAACACTCCGGTCAGTTCTCTCCCAACGATCCACAAAAGAGTAGTAGAAATATTGAAGACCTTTGTATGTGAAATGTAAGCATTTTACTGTTTTCTAAGGCTTTTATTTGAACTGAATTCAATTATTGTTTAAGACTTTTTATCCCTGCAACTGCCTGATGCCTAACGCGTCTACGGAGGGAGAAAGAGGGACCCTCGGTCACATCGCCTTAGATACAGTGAGTGTAAAAGCAAATGTAATCTACAAGTGGTCATTTTGTTCAGATGCTCTGGTGATACTTTCATGCATTTTGTCAGTGGACTTATTAAACAAACTGCAATCAGAAGACCACTTTGAAACAGAAAAGTCGTTGACCGAGAACATAAAGGTGAACCTCTCGCCCTCCTGTCACCTCTGTCAGAAACAGATCAGCTGAAAGCGGTCAGGAGTAATACTCACTGCCGTCACCCAGCACCCGTAAAGCTGAGCTGAAACGAAATTGCGAATTGATTTTTTTGTAACACGTCTGTCTCTTCAGACGCTGTGACCCCCGGCCTCAGACTAACAATCACTGAGCTGGTCTGAGCCCACAGACAGCCTCAATCAAACCCAGAGAGGGAGATATCCGGCTCCTGGTGGAAAAAGCACCGCTCGAGTCAGTCTCATCTCGGCTCTGAGCTGCTGTTTGATTGTGGGATTTGGAGGTTGGTCCGTGCTGAGCTGTCACACTCCGACAACAGAGGAAGAAGCATTGTGTCACAGACAGACAGTTACAGTGAGGAAGCAGCACTGAGAGTTAACACAGCAGCATGGGTTTCCACTGACTGAACTACACGGAGCTCAAATACCTTCCCTCCTGTGGCTTTCTTCTCAGCCGGTCCAAGATTTTTCGTCTGTTTCTTTTTCTTCTCCCGCTTCTTTGACTGTCATCCTTTTAAATCCAGACTGAGAGCTTCTTCATCGGCTCCACACAACACGTGAGCGCGTGACTCCATCGCAGACGCAATCAAACTTTAATTCTCCCTTCTTCTTCTTCCTGCTCTCAAATCTTCTTTCCCCTTCTTACTCCCTCCCCTCAGATTCTTTCTCACTGCTTTTCCTCCTCCCCTCTGGAGCCCCGTTACTCGAAAGCAGCTGGGAAGAGATCTCCGATGCTAACGTAACGCAGCCAGTGCCTCTGTAGTCTTTTCTGCTGCTGCCCTCTTCCAGAGCGTGAAGTCATCCTCTGGAAGAGCTCAGTGAGAGGAGGGGGAGCCGGGTGAGTGAGCAAGAGAGAGAGAGAGAGAGAGTGGGAGGGAGGGAGAGAGAGTGGGAGGGAGGGAAGGGAGAGGTAGTGCAAGGCCAAAGGATTGAACAGCGCGAGCTCTGAAAAAGCAGCTGCACCAGCGAATGATCCATGCGATTCCAGTAATGTCAGTCGCCTTGAGTCTGACTATAGATACCCAACGTGTGTGTGTGTGTGTGTGTGTGTGTGTGTGTGTGTGTGTGTGTGTGTGTGTGTGTGTGTGTGTGTGTGTGTGTGTGTGTGTGTGTGAGTATGCAGGGAGTGGGAATGGGAATGAAGAAAGGAGAGAGAGAACAAGATACAACAATATGGAACATTTTGGGCATGCAGCTCAGATGACAGCTCGCTGATTAATCGATGGGTTCGGTATCTGCAGAGTTGGCGTTGTCAAAGTTGCTAATTTGGTGCTTATTACGGTTGCTTTGGTAGAGAGCGAGCGAGACTCTTTTGCATTTAATGAAAACTGCATAACGCAACGTGTTAAAAGTCGACTCAACACAAAGGGTCACAAGAATGAAGCCTAAATAAAGAACTGCAAAATAAAATATGGTTGTAACTTTTGAATTTCAAATAATCATTTCAGGTGACTTCAGAATGTTCTTGTTTAATTGTGTATTATATACAATGACACAAAATAGTGAAACATGTTCATTATCATTTCTAAGAAAGTAAGACCCAGAGACATTTCATTTACTTTCATATATGAGTAAAAAGCATCAAAATCCTCACATCGGAGAAACAAAATTTGGCATTTTTAAGTAAAAAAGTATTAATTTATCGTCCAAAAAGAATCAAATCTCATTTAGATCCAACTTCAGTCACCTGACAGTGTTTGATTCTCAGATTGGACGAGATCCAAGGATAACAAAATCCCAAAACTATTTCTTTATAGCTAAATCTACAGCTCACAACTGCAGTGTCTCTGCTGTCTGAGCATTAAAGAATAGCCAATACCAGAAACAAACATTACCTACTAAGCAATGTTGCTTAATGTGAGTACCTGTGACTGGGAATCTGTCATGAAAAGGATTTGAAAAAGCATCCTATTCTGGATTCAGATTCATTAATAATATAAAAAACACATTTCTGTCTGTCCTAAAGAAGTATTGGGTTTCAGTACGCAGCTGTAATAAGGACAAAGAATATAACTGGAGGGAAAAGAAAGGGCGAAGAATAACGAGGAAGTGAGTCGAAGCGAGAAGAAAATGTGCTGAAAACTGAGGTGAGGAGAGAAGCATGTCGACAATGAGGTGAGGAAGAGGGTGAGGGAAAGAGGATGCTGGACGACAGATAGAGGAGGGGAGAGCGATGGTGGTATTTATAGAAAGAGACAAAGCCTGGTGTCTGTTACCTCGGGGGCTCAGAGGCTCATCTTTCTGTTTTTTTCAAATCAACACTGAGCTTCCCACTTATTGTCTTTGCTCTCTTTTTCACCCTCCCTCTCTCTCTCTCTCTCCCTCTCAGATTGGGTTACTGTCTGCCTGCAGGAGAGTCTGAGGAGAATCAGCTGCAGCCTCATCAGTCGCTGCTCTCCTCACTGATTGTGTTTACGGGCTAAACACCAAACCACTCACTCTGTCTGCTCTGCACCGCTACCTCTTTCCAGGAACAGTGGGGTAGGTTTCCATCACCATGTAGCTGTACAGTGATACCGTATATCAGTGGCGAACCGTGTCTATCACAACTGGACCTTCTGTACACACACACACACACACACACACACACACACACACACACACACACACACACACACACACACACACACACACACACACCCTCGTCACATTAATCTAGATCAGGGGTGTCAAACTTAAGGCCCGGGGGCCAAATCCGGCCCGCAACTTCATTTCATGTGGCCCCGCAAGAGCTCTGAAAGAATATAATATGTTTATTTATTATAATAATATGTTTATGTTTATTTATGTTATATGCCGATTTACAGAAGCACGTTGTCCATAAACTACATGTCCCACAATGCATCTCAAATTTTGACTTTTTTTCTCAGAAGTTGACTTTTTTTCTTCAAGAATATGCATTTTTTCGCAGAATATTATTATATATTTTTCAAAATGTCCACTTCTTTTTTTTGTTTTCAGAATTTGGCATTTCTTTAAATCATTTTGTGACATTTACTATGACGCACTGAAGAGACTTGCAATTATTTTTCCCGTAGACTTTCTGCTTTCAGACGTAGTTAATTAGGAAGTTATTACCCTATGCGATAATAATCAAGCAGAGGCAACTATGTAATATATAACACATTATTTTATAATATTATATTTATATATGTTTTATATAGTCTTAAACCTACAAACGGCCCTTTGAGTGACAACCATAATGCTGATGTGGCCCGGCAATTAAATTGAGTTTGACACCCCTGATCAGATCCTCTGTCTCGAGCCAGTTAACTAGGCGGGCCTCTAGAGCACCCTGGAACCGAGCAAACTCTGAAAAGAATACGCCCATTGGCTTACAAATCCAATATATGATTGGTTGATCAAACTGTCAGTCCAAACGTACGCTCTCATTCAGTGCGACGGCCCAGGGCATTCTATCAAGGATGTAGGATACCTTGGTTTGAAGGGATATTCATACCCAGAGACCAGAACAGATCTGATTGTTTGCTTTCTTTCTAACACAAAACCACTGAAATTCTCTGAATTACCTTGAAGGCCCTGACGGTCGCACTGCCGTCATATATCCATATATTCTCTTGTAATTTCAATGAAGAAACTATATCTAGATATTATTATCCTTGTGTTTATTCTCAGTTGTAACTATGCTTTTCTCCCTATTCTATTGCAGGCGTATAAACACATGGAGTTTTCCCTTAGGGGATCCAATAAAGCGTCTATATCTTATTTGAGTGTCTGTATTTTGCTAATCATAATGAAGGAAAGCATTGAAATATTAATGTTTTGTGTTGTCTGTTTAGTGCTACCAGTCTATTTTGTGAGTAGTACTCGAACATGTGTTTATTCAGAGATAAATGGATGTGCATAAAACCACATGAGTTGTGTGTGTGTGTGTGTGTGTGTGGTGTGTGTGTGTGTGTGTGGTGTGTGTGTGTGCTGTGTGTGTTGTGTGTGTGGTGTGTGTGTGTGTGTGTGTGTTGTGTGTGTGATGTGTGTGTGATAATTGTGTTTGCATGTGGATACACACTCAATCTAATTTGAGCCGGCTCTGCCAATCACTCGGAGCAAAACAGAAACTAAAGATTCGAGAAACACAAACGACACAGCTGACGCCAAAAATTACAAGACGCCTAGTTTGTGTAATCTCCCTTTCTTTTTCCGTCACTGTGGTCACCAGGTGTTAAATCGACAAGGAGGAGTGTGGTTATTTTCATAACGCCAAACCACCGGGTCCTTCTTCATTTCAAATCTACCAACGACAATTTATCCAAATCTCCCTCACCAATTGATTCATGTTTCGACTCGCATATAAATTGTATTTATTCCTTCAATCTCTTGGTGTTGTCTCCCCCCCCTTTTTTTCTATCCAACACATTCTCCTTCTTTCTTTGTTTATCATCTTCAAAAACACTCGATCCTGAGTCAGAGTTGTCACCAAGCTGAAGTGGAAAGAGATGAATTACTTGTCCACAAGACACTTTGAAAAAAAAACTTAAGGCTGGCATTAAACAACGTTTAGCAGCAAACAAAATGGCCTGGCTCAACTGCATTATTAGTGAGCCAGATTAAAGAAAATGTTGCATGTCCAATCAGAGAGGAGACCCCCTGTCTCAAGCTTCACACAGGATCATTAGCCATCATTAATGATTAGTTTTGGTAATTGGCTTGAATAGGCAGATATGCTGCAGCACTTGTATTACCACTTGGGATCTGATTGTCATAGTTTTGGCCATCATTTCCATAGATATGATTAGAGTGTCCCGATCCGATCACGTGATCGAGGATCGGAGCCTATCACGTGATTTTTGAAAAGATCGGGAATCGGGAGGAAAAAAATTGGGGATCGGGATTCTTTTTTATATATTTTAATACTTTGTATTTATGTTACAAAACAAAAATGACCAATGTTCAGTCTTAAAGTCGTTTTGGTTTAAAAAATACACAACATCATGTATGTGTTGCTTCTTTTGGCTTGTTTTCATTAGACCCTGGTTTGCTTATTTCTCTCCAAATCTGGCAACAGAGTGGGAGCGGCAGTGGTCCTAATAGTAGCGGTAAGCTAACGAGAGGCTACGTTCAGCTGGTGACTCGGAGTTGGGACAGAGAAAAATGTCAGGAGTTTGGAAGTATTATTAAAATTGAAAAGCGAAGGCAGTTTAACCAGCCAGGATTTGTGGAAAGAACAGAGCTACGTTCAACACGACCAATCTAATACGCCACCTGAGAAACAAACACCAACAACAACACGACGAGTACACAGCGGCCACTCAGGTGACGGCACTGAAACAACCGACACTTTCAGAGACTTTTAAAAGGAAAGAGAAACTGCCCCAGAACAGTGGAAAGGCCAAAACAATAACAGCCAAGATAGCTGAATTCATCGCGTTGGATGACGAGCCGTTATCTGTTACCTTTTTTTCTCTTAATGCATTGCATAAAGATCGGATCGGGAAAAACCGGTATCTGCAGTTTGGCAAAATCAAATGATCGGAATCGGATCGGGAGCAAAAAAAGGTGATCGAGACATCCCTAGATATGATACTATACTTAATGTTTTAATTGCTATTCTCTTGTTCAAACAGGTCACCCAACGGGGTTTAAGGCACTGACCGTTAACAACATTACACCTCATTAGCTTTTGACTGAAAATAAATACTTTAAAATAAACTACATTTCAGTGTGTTGGGACTAGAATCTAGAGCTGTCAAGTTTTGAGATTATTATATTAGTAATTTGAGTTGAAAATCAAGTGTGAGGGCACCAGAAACATCATTAATAATAACCCATCAGTAACTCTGTGTGCCATGTGCGTAGTAATTTCACAGTTGCTTTTATTTTAAAATAAGTTTGACTGTCACATTTGTCTTCTGTTAGTCATGCTGTCTGACTTGTCTGTAGTGATGCCGCTGTGTTCCCAGAACTCAGCAAATAGCTCACGAGCAATGACGGTCAAATCTATAAAAATAAACTCCTGATTTTAAGAATAATCCTTTAGTACGGGTACTAAAAACATGCGTGAGTGATGAGAACAGCAGCCTGCGGTAAACTCCTGATCGCTGAGGGAGCCCTGGAGCCAGTTAATGGGAAACTGACAGACACCCACCCACAGAGGGACAGACCCCCCCCCTCCCATGAGTCCCTCAGCAGGGTAAAGAGTGTGTGTGTGTGATGGGTGGGTTACTGAGGTTGTTAACAGGGGCCCCTAATCCTGGGGCCGGGCTCTAATCCTGCCACTGGTCTGTAGTGGACTGTGACCCTGATGGCGCGTGTCTCTGAGTGCCCCCTCCCCACAGACACACACACTAACACAGACACAGACAGATACACACTTAGGATGTGCAGCCTGTTACCCCACACAGCTGAGGAGACACAGCAGCTGGAAAAGCAGAAAGACCCCCATTAAATTGAACAAATACACACACAGACACTACACAGACCAATGCAGAGGGTACACACAATAATACTACACAACACTAAAATGTACACAATCCCACTGAGACAGATATGCACACAACTCCACCAGGAGGATGCTGTAACACACACACTCACACACGGACACACAGAGAGAGACAGGCAGACAGCTGACGGTGCCGCAGCCGTCTCACAATAACAAACAGTTGAGCTACTAGAAATACCAGAGTGAGAGATGAGACCGAAGGCGTGAAAACTGAAACCAACACAAAACACATCCTGCAGATTCCAGCAGCAAAGAGAACCCACCGAAAAATGACAAACATTTGTATTCATCCCGAACCCCTAACTGCCGAGAGCGGCCAATCAAATCCCTGATTAGGGCTGAGCGCTTTGTGTTACAAACCTCTGATTACTGCCGCTGTTTGCAGCCAATTACAGTTATCAGTGATTGCTTTGTGAATTCAGAGGCAGAACAATCACACTGAAAACTTTCTCGGGATTAATGCCCTGTTTTTACGTGTATCTATTCTGTTTATTTACATGGAGGAAGCTATAAGACAGGCATTTATACTGGTTTTGTTCACCAGTTATCAAGTGTTACCAAAGACCAACCATAAATAACCACAATGTTAAACTGAGTAAGAGACACCTGAGGATTTAGAAGATATTTTTGCCGCTGAACAAGTTGCAGAAGAAAAAGGTGCTGAAGTGAGAAGACAGTTGCTATCCCGTATAGAAACACCAGAAGTCAATACGTTTTAAGTGACAACATGACAATCAATCCTAGAGGCACGTTGTGTAGGATTTCCTTACAGTAAAATACATAAATACAGTATTAACTGACTCGTAGATAAGCCTTCTCAATCAGCACTTTAAGTGTTAGACGTGTCTGTATCGACAGAGATCCCGCCTCATATCGGTATTTTCTTTAAATGTTCCTGGAGCGAGGATGTGTCTGTTCTGTTGCCAACCTTATTGAAACAAAGCAACACAAGAAGGTAAGGACGCATCTAAAAGTTGGCCAAGGGAATAGTGGACATATTTTTTCAATCATCAGTCGTGTGTGGTTTTTAGAATTTTTCAGATTCAAAGGAAAGCCTTGTCTCTTTTTTTCTCAAAATAATTCCCGCTTATTGACTGAAGCAGCTTCTCCAAAGACCAAGAAACAACAACTAGAGTTTTCCTAAAGCATCTGATTTATATTGCTACTGTTTGGCATCAGTGGAGCAGTGTCGAGCAGCAGCGTAATTCCCCAAGAAGACTGCAAACAAAGTGCCAGAAATTATAGTTTATTCAAAACTCTGACTGTAAAATATGATTTGTCTTTTGTTTGTGGGAGAACAAAAAGGCAATTAAATTAAGAAAAACCTGCACAAATAACACACCCCATCATGCTGAATCATCAAACTACGCATGGCAGCCCACAGCTTTCCTACTGTTAGTGTGTGTCAGGGCAAAGAAGGTTAAATGAGTGGACCAGTATCCATTCAATATTCAAAATGGACGGATCGGGTGAGGTCAACAGTGACAGGGTGTAACTGCAGAGAAGTACACAGAGGTATTGATGTTGGTAGAGATACAGGTGATTCCAGGTGAAGGATAAAGAGTGATCTTGATAAATATACAACCTGCAATAAAATCCACCCTTCCACTTTTGTTGTCTAATAATAGTGGGAGAGACTAAGGGCGCTTACTGGATGTGTCATTTTATTTTATCAGAATTCTTTGTTGAGTGAAAACTCAGTGATACAAAGAGAATATAATCAGCTTATCTTATCATTTATGACTCACTTAATGTCCCTGTATATCACATTCAATGTTCATAAAGTTTTACAAGTAAAGTTTTTAGCTTTGTTAACATTATTTGTTCAATGATAATATACATTTAAACATTAACAGAGGTGGGACGCAAGTAGATTTACTCAAGTACGGTACTTAAGTATAATGTTGAGGTACTATTTTATGTGTCTTAATACTTCTACTCCACTACATTTAAAAAGGAAATAATGTAATTTTGCTCCACTATTATGGAGAATTATACTATTGTTAGGGACCCACTTCATTTCCCTTGGGACCCTCTCAA